GGGAAAGAGAGTGTGATTTTGTAGACGAAATCAGCGAAGTTATCCACCTGTCTCAAATGAAAGTTGGGCAGTTCGAAGCTTTGGGGAAACCAAAGTGCCAAATATTCTGAGTGATTTTAATCGTTCCTTCTGGACCTATAACATGGGAAAGACTCATATATTCAGTGCAAGGGGAAGAGTGTTGACCCAAATACATATATAAAGGTTGACCACAAGAAACAATCATCCCATCATAATTTATTTATCCTAACCACGGAGTTATTTTTCACTTTGTTGTCCACTTACTTGATCATCAACTATAAGTGAAGCTCCATTTTCCGGGGAGGTTTTCTCTGGAATCTCTTCATTCAAAACAGAAAACAAGAAGAAAACATCCCGTTAGAAGAAACCAAAAAAATACAACAAACCGGCAACTCTGAATTCAAATATTCTGTACATAAGCCTTAAGATATTTGGTTTCAAATCCTTTTAATAAGTTCATGTTGAAGGTGATATTGATTTCTTTTGTTCCTCCTCCAACTGAATAGCATACCGAATTATAAACAGGAAAGCACGAGTCTACCAGATAATGGAGATGCACCCCGATGTCGCAGCTGTGGGCCGTCAGACTTCTCCTCCCTGAATTTTCCTTCCCCAAAGCCATTTTTCCCATTGTCAAAGGATGCCCATTTGCTCAATGTAAAGCATGCTTTCTCCACTCCCGAATCATCTAGAAAAGATCATATATCATCATAAATTCTGTGGATACAATGCCATGAATAGAATTCATACTTCAATCATTCATACATGTGAATCTAGAAAATCAATAACATATAAATGGAGATGGAGTCATAGGACTATCAGAAAGTGACATTACCTTGACAACATCCCAAGTTAAACTCTGTAGATCATCACATTGATAACCATAATTATTGAATTCCTTGTTCCTTGTTATCTTTATTATTTTTTTTTTTAGGGGTTTAAATTCCATATTCAACTGCCCTTGAGAAATGATCATCAACTATGAAATACTATAATGATTTGCTAAAAAATTCCCAAATACCCCTTGAATATGTGTCTCGCACTCATCAAGCATGATGCACAAATTTTAAAAGAGAAGGCACAATTTACCATCATCTTGAGTTACTCGCACCAATGTAGAAGCAGAGTGGAATTTCAAGTTCAACATAGAACCATTCACACGCGAAGCACCCATGGAATGTCGAGCGCTCGCTAATTCCAGCCATCCCTATCACGCAACTTACAAATTTAGAATATTCACCAAAACTTACACACAATCCTCATACATATAATCACAGCAGTGCTTTCCACAAAAAAAAAAAAAAAAATGAATGGAATCTTGTTCACTGCAAAATTATTACCAATCTCTTCACTATGTTTTTATTATCAAAAACATTTAAAACGAATCTTCTTCACTGCAAAATAAATGCTAATCTCCTCATCATAATTTCCTTATCTAAAAATCTTGAAATAGATATTCCTGAATGCAAATCAACAGTAATCTCTTCATCATAATTTCCTAGTCTAAATTTTGAAATTAATCTTCTGCGCCAAAATTTTGAAATTAATTTCCTTAAAAAAAAGTTGAAATTAATCTTCTTCCCTGCAAAATTACCACTAATGTGTCCATGAAAATTTCATTGTCTAAAAACGTTGACATTAATCTTCTTCACTGCAAAATTAATAAACCCTAATTTCCGTCTAAAAGCTATGAAATTAATCCCCATCACTGCAAAAAGTAAAAAATAAAAAATAAAAAAAAAATATTACTTTACTCTTCATCGTAATTTCCTTGTCTACATTTTGCAAGCAATCTTCTTTCGGTGCAAAATTAATACAAAACTCTTCAGCATAATTTAGCGCATTAGCGAGGTAATTATTAGGATTAGGGTTAAGGTGGAAATAACGGATTAACTATAACCTGGCGGAGGATCACCGACAATGAATTCATTTGGATGAGATAATCGTCCAATGAATCCAGAAACTGCAACGCATGTCGGTCTTCCACACTCTGTCGTTTTCCATTTCGCTCCCCAATTTGGGCGTCGTTTTCTTCTTCTTCTTCTTCTTCTCCAATCTCGGAGCTCTGTGTGTGAGGATCTTCTTCTTCTTGTTGTGCCATGGGAGGGAGTTCGTCAGATTCACAAACGGCTCGGCTTTACGACTGGAGCCACCGTAAAGCTTTTCGTCGTTATATTTTAACGGGCGCAACTGACTGGTGTATTTGGACTGCTTTCCATTTGGGTTACAGCACAATGGCCCGGCCCAATTTTTAGGAAAAAGATTGGGAGGTCACTCTTTATTCTTAATTTATAATTTTTTAATTAAATAATTATACTAATAAAAAAATATTTACTAAAAATAAATAATAAACGTCTAGACTCGTACGATAAATTTTCCCATTGAAAAAAAGAAGAAGAAAAAACGACATTGATAAGCAATAAATTGTGGTTTTGGTCAAAATTCTAACATTTCTGTTCTTTCTTTTTGGCAAGCAGTGAGCGAGGACGTTAGTTCAAATTAAAAAAATATAATATATATATATATATATATATCTTTCTTGTTATCTTAAATAAGCGAAGAAAGTCAAAAAAAAAAAAAACGCGAACTTTTCGTTGGATTTCCTTCTCAATGAAAACCGCGAACACATGGATAACTACCTTTTTTCTCGCTTTAAAACTTTTTGTTTTTCTTTTTACAGAAAACATAAAAGGAATGAAAAAATAGTTTAAGGTCATATGTTGAAAAAATAGTTTAAGGTCATATGTTTAGTACACCGTATATGTTGGTTTTGAAAACGATTTTTAATGTAAATGTATGTATCTAATAGATTGTGTATAATAAAAATTTTAATAAATTTTTGAGATACTTTATAAAATACATTAATTTATGCACGAATAAATTAATCAAATTAATTTATAAATAAATTTACCTAGCGAATGATTAGGTCAATAACTTGAGCTTTTTGACCACGAACGTTCATGGCTCCAAACTTGTTTATAATACCCAAATCTTCATCATCAATTTCTTAAATCTACGAAGACGTATGTGTGAGCACACCTGAAACAAAACGATATTAGCAAATAAACGCTCAAGTATTCCATGAACACCAACACATACACGACGTGAAATTTGAGAGAAATTTTTTCCTTTCCTACTCTATAAAATTCAGTCACACTATATGTTAGGGAGAGCAAAAATTGTGTTCTCTAACTTTCTGCAATCTCATATTTTTAGAGTAGTTGTGAGACTCCCAGAAGAAGTCTAAACTTTATCTCCAAGATAAAGCTTGATAATTATCTCCAACTTATATTTTATTTTGGAAACAAAATCCATTATCTCTCTTATCCACAGGGGCCGGCCACCATAGGGATATTCCCCCTTGTGGTTGGTGCAAATAGCAGATAGAGAAGAAGAAGAAAATCTTGTTTATTATGCAGTCTAATTTTGACTCAAATTTAAATTCTAATTAAAGTAAAACTTAATTTAATTTGAATTCTAATTGGACAACTTATCAAATAAGTCAATTGGATAACTCAGAGAGCAAGCAACTGAATCCCAAATGGATTCCCATTGTGCTGAGCGTGTACACTTTGTGGACTCCTCCATATATGTGTTTCAAAATTCAAATTTAAATAATCACACTATTTAATTTACAATTAATCATTATTGAGCGTTCTATTTAGAATTTCATAATTTTAAAATTTTTATTTTACCCTTAGTGTCTTGTAGGATTACAATGACGATGTGAATACTCATGGACATATAATTTCGAGCTCCAATAAAATTAATAATTAATTAAAACTCTTTAATTAATTAATTAATTCTATTAATTCTAAAAGTTACTCTACTATAAACTTGGAATTACACTATCGTAATTATATATATATTTTACTTCTAAACTGTGAAGTGTCCATTTGATATAGTCATTGCATATAGATTAATCCTCTATAAATAATTCATAATTAAAGTTAAGTGAAATCTGTTAACCTCTCTAATTACATCTTTATATTTGAGTATTATTGATTCTTTAATAGACAATGATTCATAGAATGTAATATAATTATAATATCATAATTCATAAAGCACCATATTATATAAATATTATACAATGTAATGTAATATTATATTATACGATATAATATGATATAATATAATATAATATAATATAATATAATATAATACGGTACAATAAACATATTCTAAAAGAAAAAGACAGAAAGATCTGGTTGTTTATCATTGCAATAACAGGACAAATAAAGTAGTTAAATGTTATATACTTAGGCCTCGTTCATTTCACCTATTCGAGTTTTAAGTTTTAAGTTTTTACAGTAAAAAGCTCTTAGAAAATATCACATCTAACTTTTTCTGCTACAATGAAAAATTCTCACAAAATGCAACATCTCAACTCGAATTAAAAACTCGAATCCGCGAAGTGAACGAGGCCTTATATATCTATAAAGTTAAAAGTTGTTAAAACTTTTATATTATTGTTATCATGAATCAGATGTGAAAAGGATAGCAGAAAAGCTTCATTCCGGAATCTTAGCAGTACTAACGCACTAAAAAAGGTCAAAAAAAAAAAAATTAGGCTCCGTTCATTTCACTGATTTGAGTTTAGAATTTGAATTTTGTTATAGTAAAAAATTTTTTCAAATAATTATATCTAATTTTTTTATTACAATAAAAAATTCTCATATAAAATAAGGTCTGAACCCAAAAATTAAACGGACTCTTCTATCAAAAGAAATTTAAGGAAAAAATATTTCTAAACAATAATTAAGGAAATTAAAAAAAAAGAGAAAAAATAATTAGGCGAATGAAGAAAAAGCATGGTCGTTGGAGAAAAGGACATAAGGCGTTACCCTTAGCCAGGCTGGGGTGGCGTTTTGAAGTGGGGTCCGCGGCCGCTGTGTGTGGGCTCCACATTCATACCGTCGTTTTCTCTCTCTCTAATATTTACAGTAACATGTGTGCTGGTCTGTACGCCCCCGACGACTGCTCTCCTTAAGTCAACCTTTTTCATTTCTGCTGTAATTCATTTATTTCCTTTTTTCTTTATAACATTTCTCGATTATTCTTTCAACTGAGTTTTTATTTGTTTTTGTATATATAAATATATATTTGTCATTTGGTACGGTTTAGTTTTCGACCGTCTCCGGTCATTTTTGTTGCTTTCTTCCTTCGTTCAAACCACGACACCATTTATCGTCTTTTTCTTCTCTCTCGGACACCAAAAAGAAGAAGAAGCAATAAACCCTAATTCTGGTTTCTCTTATCCATTCAATGGCTATGGGGATGTGAGGAGGAGCTTCGTCTTCGCTTCTACTCAGCTCACCGACTCCACCTTGAGATGATGATGACGCTTCTTTTCTAATTCTACTCATACCTCAATTAGACCTTGATTTCGAGGTTCGTCTTCGATTTTTCCTCTTTTTCTTTGATTTTTCGTTTGGCTGGGTTGTTCTTAAGTAATTTTTGTGTAAAAATTGCATTTTTTTTAAGTCTGAATTGCCCGGAGTATCGATTTTAGCAATCGACCTGTGTGAATCCATTGGACAAAAGTTGAATGCGAATTATCGCAATCAAGAATTAGGGCCGTTGTTGTTATCGTTTAATTTATCGAGCAATCAATCAAGAGTGGATGGAGTTGGCAGTTAAGCAGGAATTCTAGGGAGGATAATTGAGGAATCATGTTTTGTCAGCGTTTTAACTTCTAAGATGAGGTGATTAAAATGGGCCATTATAGATTTGTTTGTGCTCGGAAATATTCTGTCCCAGTAAATTAGAGTTCATTCAACCCTTCGCACTGATTGGCATGCCAAGAACATGAAATTTTGAAGTTTGAAAAATGGTGTTCTCCTTGTTTCTTATTTAGAAGTAGTTTCTTTATTCTTTTTTAATTCAACCGACAATATATACTACTAACCGTTGCATTGTTATAGATTGGATTGTGCTTAGAAATACTTTGTAGTGTTAATTTGTGTCGTTTTCCACCTTCTGTTTATGTTTTCTGGGAGAACCTTTCTATATGAAACTGACCTATAGGTTTCAAGATCAAGTTTCCAAAGAGGGCAAAAAATGCTTGCGTGAACCCTAACCCTAGAATCCAAGGACAAGAAAACAGAATGTTAACAAGAATACCAGGAAGAGAAGAGACAAATTATGTGAACAAAAACCAGGAAAGACCACCCCAACTATTATCAGATCAAAGCACAGAGAAACATAAAAATGAAAAGAAAAATGCCTAAAAGCTTAGATACTGGCTAAGGAAGTAACTTAAAATTGAATTTTTTTTTTTTTTTTTTTTTTTTTTAGTTTTATATTGTAATGGACGATATATGCAACCAAACTCGATTCCCATTCTTACTGTTTTTTGCTAAGTTATGCCCTTTTTGTGCACTTTTATGCTTCTTTATCACCTCTTCAGTTGAACCATCATTAACGGGGTTGTTTTATGCGGCAGCACGTTGGTGCAGTTGCTAATTTAGATATGATGGCTGAAAGTTGGGACGGAAGTTATGATCCTGGCAGCCAGTCGGATGACAGCCATATTTTTGAGAGATTGCATATTGAGCCTATTTATGATGCATTTGTTTGTCCTTTAACAAAGCAAGTTATGCATGATCCTGTTACGTCGGAAAATGGCCAAACGTTTGAGCGTGAAGCAATCGAAAAATGGTTCAAGGAATGCAAGGAGAGTGGAAGGAAGTTGGTATGTCCATTGACGCTGAAAGAAGTAAAGAGCACAGATCTGAAGCCTAGCATAGCTTTACGGAACACCATTGAAGAGTGGAATGCTAGGAATGAAGCTGTTCAGCTTGACGTGGCTCGCAGATTGCTGAATTTGAACAGTTCAGAAAGTGATGTTTTGTTGGCCTTGAAGTTTGTCCAGAACATCTGCCAAAAAAGCAGGTCAAGTAAGCATATAGCACGAAGCGCAGGGCTGATTCCCATGATTATTGACATGTTAAAGAGCAGCAGCCGTAAAGTTAGATATAGAGCTTTGGAAACTCTTAGAATTGTGGTGGAGGATAACGATGACAATAAGGTTTTTTCTATGAGTTTCTTTTATCACTTTCTTTATATGGAATTACTAGCATGGACTCTAGTGTCACTTGTTAATTGGTTCTCTTTGTTATGCAGGAAATATTTGCCGAGGGGGACACTGTCCGCACTATAGTAAAGTTTTTGTCTCATGAGCAGTCTAAAGAGAGGGAGGAAGCTGTTTCTTTGCTGTATGAACTTTCAAAAACTGAAGCGTTGTGTGAGAAGATTGGTGCAATCAATGGTGCTATTCTTATGTTGGTTGGAATGACAAGCAGCAACTCAGAGAATATTTTGACGGTTGAGAAGGCCGACAAAACACTAGAGAATCTGGAGAAGTCTGAGAACAATGTGCATCAGATGGCTGAAAATGGTAGGCTGCAACCTCTTCTGACACAAATCCTTGAAGGTACTTCTACTGGCCTGAGTCTTCAATCTTGGCATTGATGTTCAGAACTTGTGCAGCAGATACTACTACAAACTAATTTGAATTAACATATAGATAAGTTTGCAAAAGGGGGGAACAGTCTTTCTCTAAAATAAAATTTAGTTTCGGTGTTAAAAGTTACTAACTGTTTTTTTTTTTTTTTTTTTCCATTTTTCTCAACCTATCCATAAAATATTCTTTGTCGGGTAGTAGCCTCAAAAGAAGCAGAATAAATCAACTTATTTTGGTCCACATACTTGTTTCTTAATCCTTTGATGTTGTTTTCACCTGTTATGGGACGCCATTTATTCGTTTTGACTTGTATGACTATTCATCATCTGAGCAGCGTTGCTCAAGCCATTCTGTTTTCTTAATTTTCTAGGTTCAGGAAAATTTTTTAATATGTTCAGTTGTAGGTTTATAATATAGTTTTCTAATTTCATTGTATCTTTTTGTTGTTATTATGAAACATAGATAAACCTTGTTGAGTTGAATACTATTCTCCTTTACTGGCTGCAGGCCCTCCAGAAACCAAACTGGCCATGGCTAATTTCCTTGGTGAGCTGGTCTTAAACAATGACGTGAAAGTCGTTGTAGTTAGAACTGTGGGTTCCTCTTTGATCAATCTCATGAGAAGTGGTAATATGCAGTCAAGAGAAGCTGCTTTAAAAGCCTTAAACCAGGTCTCCTGCGACGCAAGTGCCAAGGTGTTGATAGAGGCAGGAATTCTTCCTCCTCTTGTCAGGGACCTCTTTTCTGTTGGCGCAAATCAGCTACCCATGCGATTGAAAGAGGTTGCCGCGACAATTCTTGCCAATGTTGTGAACTCAGGCTATGACCTTGAGTCTATTCCAGTCGGAACTGATCACCAGACTCTGGTTTCAGAAGACATAGTCCATAGCCTTCTACATCTCATTAGCAACACTGGTCCAGGAATTGAGTGCAAGCTTCTTCAGGTTCTTGTTGGACTCACTAGCTCTCCCTCTACAGTTCAGAATGTTGTTGCTGCCATTAAAAGCTCTGGCGCCACCATCAGTTTGGTCCAGTTCATTGAGGCTCCGCAAAAAGATTTGCGTCTTGCTTCAATAAAACTTCTTCAGAATCTCTCCCCACAAATGGGTCAGGAACTAGCCGATGCTTTACGTGGTACAGTTGGCCAACTTGGAAGCCTAATTAAAGTAATATCAGAAAATGTTGGAATCACAGAAGAGCAACCTGCAGCAATTGGCCTTCTAGCTGAGCTTCCAGAGAGGGATTTGGGCCTAACCCGGCAGATGCTAGATGAAGGTGCCTTTCAACTAGTCTACACTAGGGTAGTTAAAATCCGACAGGGGGAAACCAAGGGAGGTCGCTTTGTGACACCATTCCTGGAAGGGCTTGTTCGAGTTCTTTCAAGGGTTACATTTGTATTGGCTGATGAGCCTGCTGCAGTTGAGCTCTGTCGAGCGAATAATCTTGCTGCTTTGTTTGTTGAGCTCCTTCAGACTAATGGACTCGACAATGTGCAGATGAATTCCGCAACAGCCTTGGAGAACCTGTCGCTAGAAACCAAGAACTTGACCAGGCTTCCTGACTTGCCGACACCTGGTTGTTGTGCCTCAATCTTTCCATGTTTAAGTAAACAACCTGTCATAAGCGGGTTATGTCCAGTTCATCGGGGAACATGCTCGCTTAGGGAGAGTTTTTGTCTTTTGGAAGGACAAGTCGTGGAAAAGTTGGTAGCTCTGTTGGACCATGCGAATGAGAAGGTGGTTGAGGCTGCACTTGCTGCGATATCTACTTTGTTGGATGATGGAGTTGCTATTGAGCAAGGAGTGAAGGTGTTATGCGATGCTGAGGGAATCAGGCCTGTACTAGACGTTTTACTAGAGAAAAGGACGGATAATCTGAGGAGGAGGGCGGTTTGGGTAGTCGAGAGACTATTGCGGACTGATGAGATAGCCTATGAAGTTTCAGGAGATCCAAATGTGAGTACTGCTCTTGTCGATGCCTTCCAGCATGCTGACTACCGGACCCGACAGATCGCCGAGCATGCCCTGAAACATGTTGATAGGCTACCGAACTTCTCTGGGGTTTTCCCAAACATGGGATAGGAGTCCTATTTCAGAAGCTCTTTATTTGGGTGTGGTTTTACAGAATTCAAATTGAACGTAGATATTGTTGTATACAGATTTCCCATTTGTAGATTATCTTCAACATTGTTCATTTGTTCTCAGTGATGCGCGAGATTCCCATCAGATTTTCTGGTTCCAGTCTTATAATTAAAACCTATAAATACTAGCATCAGGTATCAAGAGTGGTAATGTCATCAGTTTACATTGTTGAGTATACTGAATAATGTAAAGGCTCTTGAGTTGTTTTATCATGTCCATTAAAAGGTGTTCTTGACTATAAGCAGGTGCACCCGCTGAGAGTTGTTTTATGTTTGGCATGCCGTGTACGCTTGATTTGTGCAACACACACAGGTGGCATGAATCATTTGGCAACTTCCCTTCCTAAGATGATGCCTTATAACTAATGTTGTCATGTTGATATTAAATTCATAACCCAGTTCCTTAACTGGCAATAAACTGTAAAATGCTCGGTATCAGAACGGGAGGATTAGTGGAAGAATGTTGGATTTATAAATTGTTTGTTAAGAAGAATTGGAGTAGTTCATGAGAGAGAGAGAGAGAGACGAATAAGAAGAAATAGGGAACAAGTCATCTTTCAAGCCCGAGTTTTTGCCAATACGCAATCCTTTCTCTATCCTGTGAGTTGCGCATAGAAACTTCTAACATGAAAACGCTCCCTCCTGGTGGAAAGGCTGAACATAATATGGATTTTGTCCTTGGCTTAGAAAGAATTGACCTTGGGAAATGAGAAATTCTAACCATAGTGATCGGCTGGTTGCTAAAAGTGTTTAGCAGTAAACTGAGAAGAAATATTTTACAATAGCTAAGATCTTCCAATTTCGATTTTCAAAGAGAGTATGTGAGGAGCAGAGAATAAATGAGAGAAAAAATTATGCACTAAAAGTAGGTGAAGAACGGTTTATCTTCAATTACAACAGCAAAATAAATGAATGTCTGGTGGACAAAATAAATACAAAGATTACATGAGCAAACATACCTCCACTAAAAGCTTTATTAAAGAAATTTGAGTTCATGGGTAATCACCAAGATACGAATGCACTATATGAGAACTGAACACCTCAAAGTGGAATCGCCAAGTTGGATTTATATATCTCGAACGAGGAAGAATGGACGTCAAATGCTCTGGATGGCGAAAGAATAAAAGACTTTACAGATGTAGAACGACCATGGACTTAGTCATGCACGAAGAAGCATCAAATTCATGAGTTACATGGTTCCTTGAAATGTGACTCCAGTTCATCCCCTTACCCGAGATATCACATACAGTCAAAAAATCCAATACTTGACCAAATATTTTGAACATCTCTATGCCAAATATCAGGTTTTGATCGGACATAAAGGCGGCATTCCAGTCCATTGGAGCATCAGGATGCACTGAAACCTCTGTCCAGGTAAGATAAAAGAGATCCAGCTCCCACAATTTTCTCACTGCCTTGTTTCTTCTTCCTATTTGACCATCCCCTTCACACCAGGAGACAGATAGCATGAACAACCGGCCGTTGCAGGACACGAGCTTCGGGTAGTACTCGTGAACTCGCGGCGGGAATGGAGTGGTTTGAACACGAATCCAGAAACCCCTTTCTATGTCATATCCTGCGAGCTTGTCGGTCTCGGAATAAACATAAAAGACCCCATTACAAACAACCCCAGAACAAATAATTCCAACATCTACTGGCAGCTTTTGGATATCTGTCCATTTATTTGACAGGGAATCATATATTTCTCCAGAATCCAAAGGCTCATCCCAAGATCCATGACCGCCCACGGTAATTAGAACAAACCTTCTGCCACCCTTTGTGCCTGCTAGATCACTTCTTGTTCTAACAAACTTGTATGACTTCCTATTGGGCAGCAACGAAGCCTCATTTTCATCAACTGTGTTTCTGTATTGACGCCTCAGAGAGAGCCTGTGAGGATCTTCATAAACATCTGATACCCCACCAACCCGTGTTCTGGGGCGTCTGTCTTGCCGGATCTGATGGCTTTGACCAACAGAAAAATCTGAACTTACCTCAGAAATCCCCAAGATAGGCACAGATCTTGCATACTTCATGGGTGCAACTTTTCTCCATGATTTAGTCAAGGGGCTAAATATTATGACCCCTTTATGCGTCTTGAAAGAACTCCTATCCACCTTGCCAAAGTTGGTCAAGCTTGAACACCCTCCAACAATATAAATATCATCCTGGATACTGGCAACAGAGAACATGAACCTCCCTTTGAGAATATTGGCATCCATCCTGTGCCATTGCTCTAGGGACACGTCAAGGGCATGTATCTCACCAGAGCAATAGCCATCTTTTACAGCGCCAAATAGAAACAACCATGGATTCTGATGTGAGCCTTCACGTCTCATTTGCAGGAACCGAGGAGTGGTAGTTAAGTGTCTCCATTTCTTGCACACAAGACGTGCAGTCATGAGACTGGTCAGTGGGAGCCTAACTAAGCACATCTCCAATATGTCATCTGGAAGAAATATATGCATTCTACAATTTCTTATGGATTCTTCAAGCTCAAAATCTTTTTTGTTGTGCTTCTTCCAAAATCTCTCCTTCACCCCGTATGAGAAGCAATCAACTCCAGTTTCCTCGGGGCCACATATCAGCTTGTACCCTTTGCCTTCATCACTGGCACTTGACCTCCTCCTGCTACTCGGATCTCCAACTTCCTCACCCGTGTCAGCTCCTACTTTGCAGCCCGCACCCCTACTATACAAAGTAAGACATCTCAAAGATACCCCCTTTACACCATCCTCTTCCTCCAATCTGCCTCGGTTGTTCTTCTTCCTCAACTTCTGGCTAACGCTTCTGACGAGACGTTTTGACACGCTCAACGCTTCGAAATCTTGAGTAAGTGATTCGTCACCAGTCAGTCTCTCAGTAAACATTCTGTACTCGAATATTTTGCAATCATAAACACTTACCCCATCACTATCTTGCAACTCTTCTTAGTATTCACCAAGATGACACAACCTGATCCATGCAAAAAACCTCAAACATAAGTTGTTACTCAAGAAGTCTACAACCTAAGAAGAGGTATCGAAAGTGAAAGTACATTGGTAATATTTGCAATAATGAAAATCCATTTCTTGCTCTCACATCCTTTACTGGGAACCAACAGAGCCAACAATACCAACCCAAAACGCAAAAAAGCACAACAAGACATAAATCATAAAAATACAAATAACAAACTAACAAAAGAACGTAAGCGTAACGAATATCTAAAATAAGTACAGAAGAAACTTTACCAATTTACCATTTCCGGATCCGAAGCATGAAATTATAGCAACATCAATTAAATCACTATCAAGGGATTCAATAACTTTAATAAAGCACACCAATGCCATTATTTTAGGATTTTAATAGCAGAATTTAAATTAAAATGGAAGAGACTAGGTAATGAGAAAAATTAGGGTTTACGTAAATTTGGATGGGAATTATAGGCGAAATTTTTAGCTCAACCTAAGAGTTTTACAGTAAACTTTGAATCACAATTTTGAATCCCTTAGCCACAGTCACTAAAATCAAATCACAGTAACACTCATATGGTTCCAAATTTTGGCTCCAATTTTTGAGAAGACAAGAAGGAAAGAGCTTCCGTTTGGTTGCTGAGAAAGTAAAAAGAAAATTGAACAACGTCGATAACTAATTTCCAACCAAAAAAACCCTCTTTAGAACAATTGGTACAGAAATTAAACATTCCAAGACTTTCCTCATTTTCCCCCAACAATTTCTCGCTTCTTCACCAAATTCAGAACGCCCAACCAGAAAAAAAAAATAATAAAAAAATTACAAAAAAAATGAAAAAATTACAAAAAAAAAAAAGAGTAAGAAAGAAAAGAACTACTTACAAATTCATGGTTGAAACAATGGAAATCCATAGCTAGAATTGATAGTTTTGTGCGATTAATTGAAGCTGAAAAAAGAACAACAAAAAAAAATTCAATCTGAGATGAGATTGAAGAGCTGTTCTTGGAAGAAGTTGGGTAGGTCTTTTCTCCGAGTATTTTTAATGCTAAAGAAGAAGAGATCGGACAATGTGCTATCTATCAATGTCATACAATTACTACACACCTCTATTGTATTAAAAAAAATTACACAAAAAAAATATATAATTAGTAATTAGGGGGAAAAAAACCTGCAAATAAATAAAATAAAATAAAAATAGCTTTCTGGATTATTTTAATGAATTTGAAGGCCGGGATGGAATTTAGAAAGGGGGAAATAATATGATACTGAAACAACAACAATAATTAAAAGAATTAAAAGAAATAAATTATCATAATAGAGTTTTTTAATTTAATTTAATTAATGAAAAAGAAAAAGGAAGAAAAGGCGACCACTTTTTCTTTTTCTCACCACCACCTGCACTACACTTCTCTTCTCTTCTTGGCTCCTCCATCTTTCTCTCTCTCCCTTCTTTTTCATTTGGCATTTTACCCTTTTCCGTTTTGTTTTCTCGCTTTTTCTCTCTCATCCTTTGATGTTATGTTTAGTAAGAGAGATGAAAGATAGGAAAAAAAAAATATATATATATATATATATTTAGAAACAAAAAATAGTTTCAATGTCATAATTTTTTATTTTGTTTTCGTTAAATTATTATAATTTAATTAGTATTATAAGAGTGTCATTTTGGTACAGGCTTACAGTTACAAACTATATTCTATTTATAGTTTTTATTATAACTACAAATTTAGATCGAACTAAACGATTTGATTCGATACCTGTTACTCTTGGTGTTTGGGTTGGATCAAGTTTCTGAACTCTAAAATTTATTCAGAAACACCTTTTAATAAAAAATTGAAAAATCTTATAAAATTTTGAGCCAGGCCTTTCCCATTTAGAGCCGAGACGGACCAAAATTTATGTTTGGCCATCAGGCCAGAGCCAAACCGTCTAAACTTTTACCTCTAGTATTTATTCAAAGAGTATAACCAAAATTTCCTAATCAGTAGAAATTATAAACTACGATCCATTTAGAATGTATATTCAAATCATGATTATTGATTATGATGTTTAAAATTCAAACTTTTTTTAAAAGGAAAACAATGTAACAAAATTAATGATTTAAATTTCAGTATGTAAAACAAACGGTGGAGGTTCATTTCTTTTATAAGAAAACAATAACATTCAACCAGCAAAACAGAAAAAAAAAAAAAAAAAAAAAAAAAAAAATTTTTTTCCCACGAGAAAAAAAAAAAATTCTCTAGTATGTCTGGGGGCCC